GCCAGCCCCCGGAACGTGGGGGTGGGGGGGGGGGGGGGAGGGCAACAAGAGGCCAGAAGCTACTGCTGCAGCAGAATCTGATCACAAAGAACAAGGTGGGGCAGGCAGTCTCATCTGAGGCACGGGAGATGTGGACAAGCTCCCATGAGAGCCCACTGCATCCCACATTACCTGGGGGGTGGAGGAGGCTGAGCTTGAGCCGCAGACTACGTGGTCCGCAAAGTGCACTTTGAGAACCACTGTTGAATTATACCAGAAGCTACTGCTGCAGCAGAATCTGATCACAAAGAACAAGGTGGGGCAGGCAGTCTCATCTGAGGCACGGGAGATGTGGACAAGCTCCCATGAGAGCCCACTGCATCCCACATTACCTGGGGGGTGGAGGAGGCTGAGCTTGAGCCGCAGACTACGTGGTCCGCAAAGTGCACTTTGAGAACCACTGTTGAATTATAAACTTTAAAAACAAGCATTACTCACGAGGCATATGACCACATGACACATTTCCCTCCTCCAGAGCATCTGCAAACACAACCTCTAGCTACATTTCTCTTAGAATTATCATGAGGGATGCCAAGAGAATGTCCCATCTCATGAGCCACACTGATTGCATCATAGAGCACCGATCTAGATCTCGCCTGTACACAGACAAAGCACAAAGACAAGAAGGAGTTATGAATAACATATGAACATGCAAAAAACAAATTTTAAGAGTTATGTGACTTTATGAACACACTGAAGAATTTCATTTGCAAACATAAATCTAGAACAGTACATAATCTCACAAGAGAACTTTCAGAGACTACATCTAGACTACAGGCTTCTTTCGGAAGAAGCTTTTTTTTTTTTTTTTTTTTTTTAAGAAAGCATCCACACTACAAAAGTGCATTGAAAAAGTAATCTGCTTTTTCAAAAGAGAGTGTCCAGACTGAATGGATGCTCTCTCACATGTAAACTGTGATTGCTATGGACAGAATGGCCACCAGTGCTTTTTCCTCTTTCCTCTTCTTCCGAAAGAACTCCCTCTTACCCATCCACACACGACTTTTTGTGATAGTGCTCTTCCAGGAAAAGGCTTCTCCCTCATGGAATGAGGATTACCAATGCTGGAAAAACCCCTCTGTTCTTTTGATTTTCTTGTGGAAGAATGCAATTGCAGTGTGGACGTTCCTCAAGTTTTGTTGGAAAAATGGCTGTTTTTCTGACAAAACTCTGTTGTGTAGACATATCCTGTGTGAAGGAATGATTTCTGCACAATGCTTTCTGAGATCATTGTACGAGGGGGGAGAAAATGAATCACTCACAAGTGATATGTCTAGCTCTACCAAGGTTCCCAAGCCATAGAATTTTACCCAGGAATTCCTACATCAAGTCCATAAAATCTGGTTATGCTAAAGCATTTATTTTCTAAGAACATCAATTCCTGTTTTAAAGACTGCATATGGTGTAGAATCCACCATAACACTCAGGAAGCTATTTTAATGGGTAATTAACTTCACTATGCCTTATTTCCCACCAAATTCATCAATCTTCAGATTTTTTCCTTTGATAAGCAAAATAAGATTGAACTTTTTAAGTTTATCACTAAATGAATGTTTTTCACATCTCATCATTCTTATACTTCATTTACACCATTTCCATTTTTTCATCTTTTCATTATTCACGTGAAAGTAAATATATAAGATAGGTAATAAAAAGTAGATAACGGGAGAAAGGGAAAGCAGTGACCCCATATGAAAGATTAGCAAGAAGAAAGTAGTGATAATGGATCACTGATATCAACTTCAGATAAGAGTAGATACATAATTTTTACCTATTGCTTCCATATCTTGGTTGAAGGGAGCCCACAATCATTTTTAGTATTTTTAAATAATTTCCCTGGACACAGACTTATGGGATTCTTTATTTCATATTTGTGAGAGTATAAACTAAGGCAGAAAATAAGATATAATTTCTCCTCACTTTGAACAGTGCCTGGATATTAACTTGTAAAAAATATCTAGTGGCACTGTTCCCTATGAAGCTAATATAACAAAACCACAAAGCTCTGGGTGGTACCTACTGTTTGCTGTTTCCACAAAGAGCTGTGAGGGTTTACAGAGACATTTTGATACTTTCAATATACATGGTCAGGTCCATCTAAAATCCTGCATGTGGAGATGCTGCTCCTCCCTATTCATGTGTGATTTCAGGAAGAATACTGACATGAAGATAAGCAGCTTACTATGGAACTGAAGACCACCTTTAGGAGGAATGAAGGAAAAGGGAAAAGTTGCACCTTGTCATTAAAGAACATCACATACAGGGGTTCTGACATTAAGGCTCTGGATGGCTGAGACCCTCTTTGCCACGGTAATTGCTATCAGGAAGGCAACCTTCCAAAGAGGTATGACAAGGGGCATGATGCCAGTGACTCTAAGGGAGTTCCTGTGAGTCTCAACAAGACAAGTTTTCATTTCCACCATGGAACAGATTCACAAATCTGCAGGTATATTCTCTTGAACTGAATGGACATTTTGTGAGGGGAAAAAACGAGCTGCCATCCATTGGCAGGAGAAATGGTTGTAAGGAGTGCCTTAATGGACAAAATGACTAGACCCAGTTGTTATAGATGAAGCAGATTCTCCAACACAGTCTGGAGAAGTGACCTATGTAGTGAGTGGCCTCAATGGAATTACTACACAGAGAAATGTTTCCACTTGGCAAGGCTGGTTGCTCTAGCAGATAGTTTTCTACTACAATAAAAGCTCTGTAATCTGGTACTTTGGGAAAATGGGATGGTGGTGGTTAATCAAATATTCTGGTTATCTGTGTTATACTTTACCAATGTAATACCAATTTTCAAAGAATGAAAATACAATAAAATGAATAAAGTATAAAATAGCATGCACATATTCACCAGTCCAGTAGTAGTAGTGAACTGCACTGGTTGGTTTCTTGGGATTGTCTATGCTTACCAAAGGATCAACATTTTGGTGATCGATCTTCTAAGGTTCGATTTAGTGGCTCTGGTTTATCAGCAGGACCAGGGGAATGCTGGCTCTCATTTCATTTTATCTTAGATCAGCCCTTGCTGAGGTAAAGGTAGACTTGCATCTCTTGCCTTTTGAGGAAAGCCACCACTGTTGTCATGCATTTGTGCATATCTGAAAAGCTGCCAACAGGCGGGAGGGGACAACAGTGAACTGGTAGTGGGTTTGGTTCACAACAAATCTGAGAAAACTTCTGTGGTCTCAAAATATAGAGATGTGAAAATAGATGCCTTTTCAGTCAAGGGCATTGTGCCAGTTCCCTGGATCCAGGGAGGGCAAAATGGAGGCCCCGGGCATCATTCAGAACTTCAGTTTCTTTAGATAACTTCTGAGGAAACACATGTCTAGGATGGATCTGATACCCCTTTTGGGATTAGGAAATAATGGGCATAAAATCCTTTCTTTTTCAAGGTCTTGAGGTGCCTTCTCCACAATCCCTACCTGGAGGAGGACTTGTACACCCTAGCAAAAAGCTTGTGAGGGATGGGGAAGCGGGTGTGGGAGAAGGATGGAAATAAAGTAGAGTGTGTAACCTTCCACCATACTCAGTGTCCAGTGATCTGAGGTGAAGAGGAAACTGGGCTAAAGCAGGAGAAACAGTTTGAAAATGAAAGGTGGGTAAGATCGGATAAAGGAACTGGTACAACATCCTCAGGTGCCCTATCAAAAGTTCTGCTTAGGGTCACAAGAATATCTGTGATGGCTCAGTAGTGAGGCTGAGTCAGGTGGGAGAAAATGTCTGCATTTTTAATCCCAAATTTACTTCTTTAACCAGTCTTGGGGTGGTTGGTAGAGCTGTGAATACTGATTGTTGAGGCTTCAAGTATTTCCTCGAAGGCACTGGGTAATATAGAACTTGAGGGTGGCTCTAGAAACTGTCTGGCTGTGAAACTTTGCATCTGTTTATAGGAATTTAAAGGCCACTCCATTTAACAGCTCAGAGTGAGCTGCAAAGCTGTTGTGAAAGGCCAATGCTTGCTGCATCAAATATGTGGAAATACTGATGAACCCAGATCCGTCAATTAGCCAGCTGCCTAGTGGGGAACTGGCAGCAGTTCTTTGAGTGGGAATACAATTCCACCCCTGAGTACAATGACAAGTCTTCCTCTGGTGGATTTGGAGGGGCAGTACCCATTGAAATCAGGAAATGGTATCAAGGCTATCAGGGACAGTTTCCATCTAGATGGTGCCAAGTGGGAGCCCAGGGTGAAATGCTCCCTTCTGCTCGCCAGTACCATTGCCATCTTTTACTACTACCATCTTTTACTACTGATGACTGTAGTACTGAAAGTGCCAGCAGACCCCTAGCCATAACAAATACCTCTGGTATAGATGGTACCACAATTCTGCTGGTGTTGCATTGTCCCTCTGGTGCCGAGGGATGATCCAGGCCTGGACTTAATAGAATCTGTCTTAGAGGAAGAGTTGATGGTGCCACACTCAGAATGGAGGCAGAGGAGTAGCCAAACTCTGCTGCACTCTATGTGCTTGGCTCTCATCAGAGTCTGGGCATGCCCCCTCTCAGCCAGCTGCTTATCTTTTTATTTTTTTGGAACCAGTGAAGAAGAACAGCACAGAGATTCTCTTATGGCAGAAGGAGCACTCCTCACTGAAGCTAAGGTACTGGTTGCCGAGACAGACTGGCTTGGTTCTGGTTCAGGATGGAGTGTCACCTCCAGCAGGAGAGACTTCAACCTGGCTCCATCTCTTTCCCAGCATTGCCCCCGAAGTCCCAACAGATCTGACAGTGGTCCCTGATATGAGTCTATCCCAGGCACTTCAGACAACTGGAGTGTGGGTCACTCACAGGTATGGGCTTATTACAGGAGGCACAGAGCTTGAAACCCAGGGCCCAAGACATGCTTCGATACCAGGAGCAGATAAAGCTCTGCTAACAGGGAGAGAAGTGCTAATTAATTATATACAATTAATCTACAACAATCCAAACCATGATCTCTGAGACCTCTCCCTTAGTGGTTAAGAAGGGATTTGATTGCTGCATACAGCTTTTTGTACACTGA